GAAGTGCGAAAAACTAATATTAACTTTGCTTCTCATTAAAAAATTATTTACTCTAGATACTGATCCGGTTAATAAAAAATATTGTATTTGCTAGATAGTTTTTTTATGGGAACAAATTGGACCAACCGAAGAAAGCAATGTAGGGGTAAATATTTTTTTAGTCAGAAAGCTGATATTCGTTTTTCGCTCCTAAGAAAACCCTTCAATACGAATTTTTATATCAATTGAAAAATTAAAACTTCCAAAACGAAACTTTTGCTTAGCCGGAGTGGACCCTTTGAAATTGTGTCGACAACAACAAAAAATCGTGATAAATTCACCATATCTCCACCGATTTACACGAAAATTATTAGGTATTTAGGGCTCTATACGCTACACGAAATGGTACAAACTTTACCTCAGTAAACAAATTAAAACCAATGATATAAAATAAAAATATTTGAAAAGTTTTTATGAATTTTTAGCTTAAAACAGAATGAAATTCAAAAGTCATCGATGTGGTTGTTAGGTGATATCAAATTAGGTCTATCGAGATAAACCGATTCGGTCCACCATAATGTATTTTAATCACCATCTTCTTGTAAGTATTGGCCGTTGTGGATGGGTCAGTGTTATTGAATGAATAACAATTTATTAATGGTCAACAATCCATTCATCTATCAATATCAAGAGTAGACTTCGTCGCTAAAATCTGTCACATCAGAAATAATAAATAAATAAGGTCTCCATCTCACAACACAGTACAAGAACAACATCGCACCCTGGCCCATCCAAGCTCTACACCGCTCGTGCTCTTCTTCTTCACCATCATCTACTATTATCAGTTGTATAATATTATGCCTCTGATGTTTAAAATTTGACAGCACTGAAGATGACCTACAAGCTTGAGTTAAAACGTTGGCAACAATAAAAATATCAACAAAAAAAAAAACACTGCGTCCAGACGATTTCTTACAATATACGGTGTAATATATGATACAGATTCGAAATAGCCAAGTTATTTGTAACAGACCCCTCAGTCCAGAAACAAGCTCGGTTATCGAAACGGTTAGGAAAACAGTGAACGGCTGTTGAGGAAAACGATCAGAGAAAGGATCGGACGTACAAAGCGACTACAAGGCTTTGACCCGGGAGCAATTACAGTTGTTCGCCTGTCAGTCCCGCTGCGATTACCGCGTCACTCTGTAAAAACTGTATCGGCTCTGCGGGGCAGGGATCTGTCAATTACCGGCCGTCGTGACTGGGCAGTCCTCGCGCTCTAATTGGACGGTAATTGTAGCCCGCTCGGCCAATTACATCCACCGGTCCTCCTTGTCAACCAATCAACTCGGAGGCCACGCCCCCGTTAGCTCAAGGAGCCTGTTTGCCGGCTTAATCCCTCTTCTAATTGGGGCCTTAGGATGCAGCATCTTACACCCTATTCGTCCGCCAATTATTGGCAAATCTGTTCAAAAGCATTCCATTCTGGGATACAATGTCTTTATAAAAAAAATTAGATTAGTTTAGGAATTTTTTTCATATATCGATGTAGATCCCGAGGCCATCTTCTTTTCAGGCGTCTTGGAGGAATTGCCAGGAATCAAGGAAAATACAAGTTATGCATGCTTTTATATGTGACAATATATACAGCATTAAGGATTTTACGAAGGATTTTAGATTGTAAAGATTGGATGTGAGAGGAACAGAAGATGAAAGTTAGCTTTTGCCCACATTCCAGGAATTTGTTCAGAATTTATTACATTATTAAATAGATTTAATATATATTGTTCCAAAGATGGATTGAGACATTTAACAACTTTATAAGTTATATTATCAGGCCCTGGAGATTTCTGTTTTTTACTGGCACCTATGCTGTATTGCAGTCCTTCCAATGATATATTGTTATCAAGGAATGGATGAGTTACGGAGGAAAAGTATGTTTCATGTAGTGTAAGGTAATTATATAAAATTCATTATGATGAAAAACATTACAAAAAAACACAGTAAGAAAAAGATAGACCAAATGCATCATTCAGCGGTAGAGACTCCTTTTGTTTATCAAATTATTAACATTCGTCAGAACCTTCATGAGCGGCTTCATCTTATTGTAACCTGCATTACCTACGAATATTCTTATACAAGTGGATTTTGAATCTTAGACAAATAAACTTTGTCTATTTAATGATTATATTAAATACTCATCAACACCCATTTGCTTTTCACTTGAATCATACGACAATATGATAACAAATTCAAGGATAAATGTGGCCTGGAGGTTAGAGATGGTTGGTGAGGGGTGATATACTTACCGACTGATTGAATGAACTATATGATAACGATTCTATAAATAATTATTTAAAAAAATAATGAAAAAAAATCTTTTTTATGGCGTGAACTAATATTTCTCATATTATTCATGGAAAAAAGCGATTTTCCCCAGAAACGTTAATTAATTTCTTCTTAATAGTGAGGTATGATCTGTTTGGTAAGAAAATATGTATCAAAATCAAGATAGGATTCACCATGGGCAAGTTCACAAAATCAGCACTGAAAGGATCGATGGCATCGTTTTGCCCAGTTTGGATACTGTTCCAATGCCATCGACGAACTCAACGCTTATCTGACGAGTTAAGCAACTTATCCTTTTTGTCCCATTCCTAATTTATTGCCATTTCTTATACCTAATAAGTTTTTTTTTTCTTTACTGCAATTTTTTTCTTAATAACAATTCTAACAGTAGTGTCACATCACCTAAGTAGTATTACATAATAATATTAACAATTATTTTAATAAAAGTATATTTATGGCATTATGATTATCATTAGAGTTATAATGTTATTGAAATTCTTTTTCTTTAATTCTCATGGTTTCCTGATCAAAAACAAAAATGGATAATATTTTATAGATCAAGACTTTAAAAAAAAAAAAAGCTCTAACACAACTCATAGTAACTAATAATTAAATATGTCCAAAAATTAATAAAGAAATTTCTAATTATACCTTAAATTGTAATCATTTTGTTACAAATTCTTTTATTTGTTGAGCATTTTTTTTTTCTTTAAATAAAATATTAAATTATATATCATTCCTAAAACTCAATATAAACCTATTTATAAAATTTATAGGTAATGAAGGGAAAATTTATCAGGTAATCAAATCAAAAGTTAAGCGTATCTTGTGGAAATTCGACAATCTTTAACTATGAAACGAACTACCATATTGAGAATACGTAATAATATTGCACAGTCAGTAAGTTTTTATATCTCTCTTTGACAAAATACTTTTTTTTTTTTTTTTTTATAAATGATCCACTTGACGAAGCAAACAACTTAACAAAGCAACAACAAAAAAAAAAAAAACTGAGACCTCTAAAGGATGACTAAAACTTCTTAAATCAAAAGAGCTGTGATGTGATTTTCAGTCACTGTTTTCAATTTGTTTTTTTTTTATATATCTGAAGCATAAAGGATTAGTAACTGTAAAATAAAAATCAATATTCCAAAGTGATTAACCGCAACTACCAAAAAACAGATTTTGACGTCATTAATGTGGACGATGTCGACTGGTTACAACTCCTAGTTGTAAGGCAATATGTTTGTGAAAAAAGGATGTTATGACATGTAATATCCATTGAGAAATCTATATATGTAAACTGGTACTAACGGTGTATAGTCGAGATATATAAAAATTGTTGTATTTTGATATGGTTCCATAGAATCATTAAAAATACATTACCACTTGTTCGGTTTTAAGATTTTAATTGGCGTATTGAAACAGTTTGTTTACCGACTTAAGTTATTTGCATATAAAAGGAATTACTGGTTGGACATCAGTTTGTGTTTGGTGTAAACAGACATTTTAGTTTTATCTAAAGATTTGATAGACAAGAATTGATAAATAATTAATTATTAAAAAATTCTAAACAAAATCCTTACATCTCGCAAATCTTACACATGATGAATTGCATTTAGGGATGACCCAAAATGCTAAGCTCACAAATAGCTCACATCTATAAATTCGAGAATTGTACAGTAATTTATGAATGATCCCATAACATTTCATGAATGGTTCCTAACATAAACGTTTATTGCAGAGTAAATAGTATATCAATTTAGTAATATGTTAAGAGTATATCTTACTAAAATATTGTTTGTAAAACCTTGGTGCTACATTCGCACTCACTTCTCGGGAATAAACTGCATGACAATTGATATTTTCTGTCGCACCATCAAATTTGACATGATAGTGATAGTGGGGTGACAGCTAATGTCATTTTGACTACCACCGTAAAATACCTAGTAGTGAACTGTTGCATCTTTTCTTACCTAATCAACTTTACTAGTTTTGTAGAAAAATATTATTTTCATAATGAAGTGTTATTTATGAATTTGAAATTTATTTTATGCAGTATTTTTACGTTACTCAATTCACAGAGGAAGAATAAAAACTATATAATTTAATGGTAGTGAAATAGTTGACTTGAGATTGTATAGTTGAGGAATTGGTAGGAAATCGCAGTCACAGAGAAAAAATAAGTTTTTAATTATTTCTGAATATTTAAATGTATTATATAAAAATAATTTAAGTTAAGTATTTAATTTACTTTAATCTACTGGCTTTAGCATCAGTTACACGGTTGAGAGAATAGCGAAGGGATCTCTTGAAGTCCTGCTTTTCCTTCTATAGTTGGTGGGAGAAGCATGGGTTGGGGTCCCGGTCTAAGTGTATATATTGTATATAGGTATGACTGTGTTTTTATGGTTTTTAATTTACTTATCGTTATGTATTTTATTTTTTTATTGTACATAGTTTTTGATGAATATATGGTGTGAATGTATTCATATATCACTATAATTATTGTCCGCGTGACAGATCATTATATTTCTAAATAAAAAAAAAAATTAAATATATATAAACATTTAAACCTATACATAACAATTATTTACACCCCGCCTACAGATATTTTTTAAAAATGAATAATACATTTTACCACAATACATAAACCAGGATCTACGGAGAGCCTACCGGCTAAATCCCCATTCCTCCTAAAATGATAAAATATTACCATGTCTTATGAAGAAAATATTAAAAAATTATCTCCAAAAATATTATTGTTTGTGTAATTACATTTAATAGGATTTAAAAAATCACTTAAATACTGTTTCATAGGTAGTTAAAATTCTCTGTTACTGCAACCCTCTTCCCACAACTTCTCATACACATATAATTTAATTTTTTAGCAATAACTATGGATATTTTTAATGCATAATTTAGATTTATTTTTATTAACAATGAGATTTTATTACCATTTTATAAAAATAACTTTATTCTGGGACGAATTCAATTAAAAATAACACAATGAGACAGAATAAAAAAAGGATTACTTCTTCATTATTCTGTATATTATTAATATAAACATTACACTTAATAAATTATTTTAAAAAATTCTAGATTCTTCTAATTATTTTTTTTTTAATTTACTTTTATTTTTCTTGTGTTATTTCATTTCTTTTAATGTTTATAGAGAGTGCATGAAAGCTCAATTATTTTATTTTATGTAAAAATATTTTTAATTTTTGTATATAAACTGTTTAATACAACATTAAATAAATAAACAAATTTATATTTAAAGAAGTACCCACCATACAAAGCAGCCTTAAGACTGGAGGCTTTGGAATCTTTCAATGCCCCATTCATAATTTCGTATCTTCTCGAGTTTTAGGTCTAATTGATAAGATTAACATAAGCGGATATGATAAAAGGACGACTTACCTGTATCCTATCTTCCGGGAGGTCTGTCTTTAACGATAGCATTTCCCTTGCGTATACGTCGGGATAGTGGGCTTCCTTGAAGGCCTTCTCCAGCTCTTCCAGTTGGTAAGACGTGAAGATCGTCCTAGATCAATAATGATCATACAAGATTTAATAATAGCGGGAACTGTGGGAGGTGAGCGGTCAGGGCAGGCAAACCTCTTTACAATCGCAAGTACCAGCAACCATCTCATGTAAAGAGGCTTGGAAGCCCTGATTGTATCAAAGTAAGATGGTTGGGACAACCTACCTGTGGCGCCGTTTCTTCTTCTTTTTGGAGGAACCGAAACCTCCCAGATCGTTGCTGTAGTCCTTGCCGACCTCTTGGTGTAAGTGGCCCAAACCTTAAAACAAGGAAACAAAAGTGAAGATTAATATTTACAGTTCATAATGGAAAACACATTTACATTTACAAAACATATAAATACTCTAGTCAATTATTTTTTTTAATTTCTTTTAAAAACAGTATAATTTTTTGTTTGAATTTAGTTCTAGATTGAACCAGCATGCTGATGAAGGCCTATAACTTAAGCCCATATCCAGGCAATGTTGCACCTGCAGTGAATTATTTTCTTCACCAATCCCAAAACTTCTCCTCGATTACATTGGCTTCCTCAATTTTGAGCATATTTTTCAGGTTGTTGGGGTATAACTTTCATAAAACGCTTATTTAGAAGGAATTTTTGAAAATATAAGATTCTAGCTATATAAGATCACTAGCCACAAAAACATTTTTTTGTTTCGTATCGCTATACAGATGGTCTCGTAAAGTAAAGTTTAGATCCCGTAAAATAAAATATATACAAAAAAAAAAAAACAATGATTTAATCGTAGGTGAATGATAAATATAATTATGTCACGATATACTTATTTATACTTTTTGATATACAATATACTTTTTAAAAAATAAATAATATATGAAATATTTAAGGAGTTGTTTTCTGAATTGCATTACTTAGATAATTACTAATTGGGATAAATTAATAAACAAATGTATTGAAAACATGAATGGCTAAATTTTAAAATGAAATAATTCTACAAATTAATTGATTGAACAATACCCTAACGCACATTCGTTGACGAAATAACAAATACAAAATTTCAATCAAATATATAATAATTATTTGATTTGTTAAAATATTTTAACTTTCTTAAAATTCATTTTTTCCTTGAATCGTTTATTGCTATTCACCACTTAAAAAAAAACGCGAACGAACAAAACATCTATGTCACAAAAAAAGAGTTAAATCTTTTCGGTTTAAATACTCAGCTTCATTGTTATGTTGATCTTTGAATTGGCAATCGAACTAAAAGTTGGATTTTATTTTATATAGCATTGTAATATAGTTTATATATACACATATATGTATTAATATGTATATATATATATACACATACATATCGGAAAATTAGATTAATAGATCCAATATTAACTATTGCTGTTAATATTATTTGAGGCTTAGAGGCGTAAAACTTTTAGGCCAACAACGCCTATCTTTAACTTCATCCTTACTTAAAGCAACTAATAATTTCGGTATGACTCCTAATTTGATTAGATTTGCTATGTAATATGGACACTCTTGATGAATGTCTAGCTATTTCGTTTTTGGGGGGAAGACTTCATTATTAATAGTGAGAATAATGTTAAATTATTAGACCTGTGAACATCCCTTCCACGCCTTGTATTCCGCCTTTTCTTCCTTGCTTTGGGATTTTTCTGGGCCAGGCGATGATTAATGCCAGAGTTAAAAAGTCCTCTCCCGGGTAACGCGATGCTGACTCGTAATTATTTTGAATCTTGAAACTTCGGTTTATTACGTTGTTAGTTGCTGGGTAACTCGTGTTTAGCACACGAAAACTCCTGCACTCTAAATCTCTAGACTTGTTTAATATTTGCGATTATATCATTCTTTTTAACTCGTTGCAGAAATAGTTTGTTTATCTGATAGAATATACAACCTATTGAAGGCTCCCGAATTCTTGAGATTTATTAGTTGTTTTTTTTTTCTAAAATCTTTTATCTTAGTATCACATGTTCAGCTATTACTAGAACGGAGATAAAGTCATCCGTTGAAAAAAAGGAAGCATAAAGAGCCTGCTGGATATCACGTTGCTCCCTCCAGCCCACAGAGCAGAGTTCCCTCCAGCGCGAAGAACGGCGGGTGATTAACCTCCCCCGTGAGGATGGGGTAGGAGCAGGAGAGCCAATGAAATATTTATCCTTTGCGGAGTGCGGTGGTAAAACAAGTCCTCGACTCTCCTGAAATATAGAGGGAGCTTGCTTTACTGTCTCCGGCTCTCAAACATTTAGCACCGTAATAAACGGTCTTCGTCATTCCTCTAGGCTTATTGTTTCGCTAAGTTTACGGCCGCTAGTCGTGTCTGCAAGGTTTTTCTCCGGGGGTAACCTTTTCGAAAAACGGGGATGATAAAATGAAAATATGTGGCTAAAGTATGGATAAGGTGGTAACTTGAATTCTATATTAACCCCGCATTTGTGGAAAACAAGTTGAAGAGCAGGGAAAATAAAATATTCAAGTCGTGATGAATAAGAACTTTTTGAATATTGAATAAACATATCAAAATTCAATAATATTGTATTAGTTATGATGTTTATAATAGTTATGAGAGGATTAGAACAATTATATCTCATGATCGTTTCTAACCCACCTATTATTAAGGGTTTTTAATTAATGTTTAAATAACGTGTAAAACCTTAATGGGAGTTATATTCCTTTTCCAACTTTATAATATAAAAATTTAGAATTAACGAGTCCAGGATGGGATTTAACTAGATAGTGATGTAGTCTAGCTCATTCGAGTAAAGTCGAATGATTAAAGTATTTTTGCATTTTGTTTAAAATGTCTTAAAAACTAAAATTTGGACCTGCCTAATTCAGGCAATGGAAATATTTAGCATTTCATCCTCTTTGTAATGAGTTACAATTTAAAATTGTATGTTGACCGGACGCCGAATTAAAGAGTCGGAAAGGAAAAATATACTGTCGAAAACCAAATGATATCTAGTTTTGTTGAATATATGGATTAAAAAATTCTCAAAAACTAAAATTCGGACTTGTATAATGTAAGCAAAGGAAACTCTCAGCATTTCATCCTTTTTGAAATGAACAATAATCCAAAATTATATTTTGACGCGAAGGCGATTCAAAGAGTTGGAAAGGGAAAAAGATAGTATCGAAAACCAAATGATAACTAGTTTTGTTGGGCATATGGATTAAAATATCTCAAAAAAAAAAAAAAAAAAAAATCTGTACCACTACAACCCATGAAGGGCCTTGGGTTCAGGACTATTTAGGGAAAGCACTGTTTCTATTACAACGGTTGTGGAAGGAGGTGATTTGACCGAGATCACGCCCAACCTCGAGGTTTTCCCTCTTAACCAATTATTTAATTAAAGAGCAATCACTCTATAGAGCCTGGGTGTGCCCCAGGAGGGTCTCCCGACCCAGGGTCGCCCCACGGCCAATGAAACAGATAAATAAATTTTCTGCCATTAACCTGGAACCCTTATTATTGGAAGCTCAGTACCCTACCACTGAGCTACCTCAGTAGCTCTCCCTAACAAAATGTAAGCAAACAGAATTTTCTGTATTTAATTTTCTTTGTGATGAACTATAAAACAAAATTGTATTTTGACGAGACGTCGGCTTAGAGCGTCGAAAAGGTAAAAAAAAAAGTATCAAAAACCATTCCCACTTTTTTCACCCACCCGACAAAAAGTAATATCAAACTATCAGTTCCCAGCAATGACAAGCTTGGAAGGAGCATTGGAACTGAGAACTTGGGCAGAAGTTAACCTCTTTGTTCTCGGGGAAGAAGTTTGTTGGCCGCCTCAACTAATTATTAGATTTCTCCAGTTTTCTCTCCAGCCATTGAGGAGACAAAGTAATTTAGGCTGGAGAACTACAATGGGAACTACATCGGGAGCGTATAGCGGTCGCTGGTTCCGGACAATAGGGCCTCGTTAAAAACACTTAGTCAGTAGGTTGTCTTCTACGGCGGAAGTGAAATAGTTACCACTTCCTCTCCTAATTTTTTTTTACTATTTCTCTTTGGAAGGCATGTGTTTATTTACTGTACTAATCAGGAACCAGGCTGGCCAGTTATGTTTGCCCGCCCGCCGCCCGTCCAAATGTCTGTCTACGAGTTGTATTTCTTACGACCCACGTCCCTCAATGAAAGAACAGCCTATGGGTACCTTCACGTGCTGAGGAATGAGGACCAGTAACAGTCTAAAGTAAATACGAATAATTTATCCAGCTAAGATAGAAGCATGCTGGTAATTTGTTACGGAAAATTTAAGTGATGGCCGTAGTTTTTCCCTCAATTTCTAAGCTTTTTATATTTTAACTACTGAACCATTTTTTCTGACTCATTATGTATATGTAGTTGAGGGTCGTATAACTTCGTTTCATAAAATTTCATTCAAATCATGAGGATGTAATTCAATAATGACATTTTTTTTTTCTTTATTGTTTAGAGCACAACTGCCAGTATTCACCGACAACCAGCGAATGTGATTACAATAATCAAGTACTATGGAATAAACAGAGTATGATAGGTATGAGGAAGAGAATCACCTAATCTTCGGTCCTGAATTAGTCTGGTTATTATGGAAAAAAATTTAGTTGAACAATAATTAGAAAATGCATGAGCGGGTAATTCATTTTTGCACATTTTAGTATATTTTTCATTCTTGATAAAAGGGTGTTTTTCACGGTTATATATTTCCTTTTGAAAAATAGCTGAACATTTAATAGTGAAACTTATTTCATACCATGAGTTTGGCACTCACTGCTCATAATCCAGTGTTTAAATTTAATTTAGGGAAACCTGATTTGTATTTATTCGTATTTGATGACGTATTGCCCCTGAAAGCAGTATTCTTAAAGAGGAAAAAGTATAAAACGCCTCACAGATACGTTTAGATAATGATTCATATTTTTATTTTTAGCTGTAAATTCAATCCCAAAGCTTGGTCAAGAACTGAAATACCCATTTAATTGGAAATAAATTTGTTAGGGATGTGAAATCACCACCATTTGAGACTTCGAAAGAAAGGTATTTTAATCCTATTATTTATAATGAACTCGCTGGCGCGACCCCTGAAAGAGGTCATTCACCAAGATTGGCAGACACTATGGGACAACAGCTCTCTAAATAAATTAAACCTGATAAAAAATTATGTGAAGCCATGGAGCAGTTCCAGTCGCAGTAAACGCTGAGAGGAAGTCGTCCTTACGCGACTAAGAATAAGTCGTACCAGGCTTACGCAAATTCACTTAATTGCAGAAGATAACCCCATCCATTTGTCAGAAGTGTGGAGGGCGAATGACAGTGGTCCATATCTTGGAGAGTTGTGTCTTTTACATCAGAGGATTTTACAAAAGAAGAATACCAGAAAATACATTGGCTGCTTAGGAAAATGATGAAAAAATCATGAGGGAAATCATATGTTTTCTCTCTAAAGAAGGAATCTTTAAAAAATCTCTGAACCTCTCACGCAGCACTCCCACCTCTTATTTTAATTTTTTAATGTGCTAACTTTAAATAATTAAACTTTAATAACCGTAAACAACCTTAACCTTAAAATGTATTTTATGTCTTTTTAATTTAATTTTATTAATATTATTCACTACCAGAAGATATAATAATATATAATTTTAATTAACGGCGTTGATGACCAACAAGTTTTACACCTTCAATATAAAACAACCAACTAACCTATTTTTTTTACATCGGCTCTCTTACGATTGGTTTTGCATAGTGTTGCCCAAAATCGGTCTTGGTCTAGTAGTTTCCAACACCAAGACCAAGGCCGTCTAACTGCTGCAAGACCAAGACCAGAACTAGCAATAAAAAATCGATTTTTTAAATAAAAATTAAGGCAAAATAGTTACTAATACTTGACAATCTTAGTTACTATATGTTTATAATTGGTATAACCAATATACTTTTGCATTTATCTCATCTAATTTTTCATTCGGGCTTAGTCAGGTTTTTCCTATCTAAAAAATTACAATAATATATCTACAGTAATAAGCTAATATGTAACTGCAAGACTGTTGCGAGACTCTTGCGCAAGACCAAGACCATGACCACTATTGAGTTTGCAAGACCAAGACTCGTCTCGGTCTCGCATTTGGGCAACATTACCTATTATTCATAAACAGAAGATAAAATTTTAATTAACGGCGTTGATGACCAATAGGTTTTACGCCTTCAATATACAACAACCAACTAACCTTTTTTTTTTTTTCTCACCGGCTCTCTCACGATTGATTTTGCACTTGACAAACGCGCTCATGTTGCTATCGGAGTCATTTGGTTCGACTGGAATTATCTCATCGCTGACGATAACGACGCTGCCATACCCTTTCCTCCTCAGGCCGCCTCGCTCGGAGGTGGGTCGATACTCCGGAAGGGTTGCCGCCGGAGGGAGCAGGCGATCAGTTTGCTATTCCTACTAATGGCCCTATGGAATTTTCTCATAAGGGCGGCCCCTATGATTGCCCTTTATCCTATTATTACCGCCGCATTCCTCTCCCCCTAGTCCGGGATTATTTCACTCATATCCCACTTTATTAGCACCACCGTAAGCGGTTTACTCCCCGACCCGCCGAGAATTTTTATTAATTGCCGTCCTTCCCTCTTCGCAGGATTAAAATCATAATTCTCTCTGTGGCTCATGTGTCAGCTGCAATTGGAAATTAATTCACTCGTAGGCTTTGTTACGGAGCTATCAATAATGCGTTTGTGTTAATCTAAGAGGCACTCGATAAAAGTCACGTTTAAATGACCAAGTCCTGAAGTGGTTATTATATAATCTCTATATATTATTTCTCAAAGTTTCTTTTTGTCGGTACGCCATATTTTCATTGATTCTTCATCGTATCCAGTAATAGAACCATCATTTTGAAGATTATCTTCACCTACAGGTGCGAAAAATAAGCTTATCCCACTGAAAATTTAGGAAAATTTTACGAAGATAAAAAAACTTTATTTTCACATAACTCGATAAATGTACAATATATGGTTTATTTATACCCAAGATAATATGAAAGGTTTTTAAATTCCTTACTAAATAAATTAATTTAAAAAAATTATAGAAATCAGACCATTATGGTGATATTAAGTATATTCTCTAGGACGACCCTGATAACGTTTTTGGTGAAAATTAAACAATATTTTTTTCTAGCCCGATAAGATATTTTCTCTCTTTTTTTTGGTTTACATTTTTTAAGAGAAAACTTTTAGACATCTTAAGTATCCTTTTAATTAACAAGTTCAATATTCCAAAATATGTATATTGTTTTCTCTATTGTTTCTTGAGAAACCATCTCGTTATCATTATCTTAATAATAAAAACTCGAAAACTCCTATATGGTAACACCCTTAGCCTCTATAAAGTTGGTACTCTTATTCAAATAATGAATTCAGAAAAAATTGGCGATTGGGCCTAAATTCGGTCAATTCACATCTCTGCACAAACCTTGACGAAGAAAAAGTACTTTCATACAAAGTATTGAACTCAAGACCCTTTATGAGTTTAATGGAACAATTCTTTTTTTTACTTTATTTTTTAAATATTTTTCATATATCGTCGGCATCATGTTAAAGTAACGAAAGTCCAACGTTGGAAAAGTTCAAATTCGTTAGTTTCACATGATGCCCACGACATGTTTAATGTATGGTTACTGATATTATAACTTCAAATGTTGGTTACAGAAAGATGATATTTTTGTGATTTTTGGTATAATAAGGACCGCAAAAGATCGTTAGTTTTACTTAATTTTTATGGATAATCTTTAAACAGAATCTTTAAGGATAATCTTTCAACTGCCTCCCGCAGTGCTACATCCTGCAGTATGTTTGAATTTTATTATCTTTTCTTAACACACCTATCCTTCACCATATTATAATCTTCATGCAGCCTACTATTCCATTACCGCTTTCAAAAAAACTGAATGTCATTGTCATCTATATATAGTACAACTTGTTTTTATCATCATAACCTTGTTTAAATTTATACTTAGATTCTAAATTTCTCTTCTTAAATTGTCTTTCCTATAGAGTTATATATATTTAATACATCTATCCTAACGATATTACAACTAATGTTATCCTAGTAATCTTTCAATTTCTTTATTTCTTAGCCTTTAGTCCCGTTATCTGTTTACCTACAGTTATCAAATATAACCTCCACTAGCTTGTTATCCACTGATATCTTATTATTGTTATTTTATTCTTATTTTAGCTTTTGTATATCAATTTTTAATCTCTTTATTCGTTAACATTCATTTTCTTTATTTGTTAACCAACAGTTATCAAATGTAATCTTTATTAGTTTGTTATACACTCATTCCTTATCTTTTATCGCAATCTGTTTACTTTTAACTTACATGCTATATTCTCCTTTGTTTTCTATTTTTATTCATACTTATTTTCTATTTTTGTTTGTATCTTCTATATATATAATACTTCATATTTTAACTACATTGTCACCCACTATATCTACTTATATTCATTTATTTTATTTTTACCATGTACCTTTTATATTTTGTATCTTTTGTAGCCCTGATGAAGACCTGCAAAGTGGGTTGAAACGTCGGCAAAAAATTAAATAATACTATTTCTATAATTTAGTATTTATTTGACCTCACCCCCCGATCAACTCCTTCTCATATTATATCACGGTCAACCATCTCTACATCATCTTTAAACAGAATACATTTTCAGTCATTTATTTCAGCCTCACTTTTCCTTAAGAACAATCATTGCAAATTATTGCGGCTCTATTACACATCTCCATGTAAACATTATGGAATGCTTTTTTGACGTCAAAAACGATTCCATCGAAACATTTTCCATTCCACCTCCAGAAATGGTCAATGTAGCCGACCCAGCTAGAAGCCCTAACCGATGGCCTGTTCCCCGACAAGTGTTCTTCTGGTATCTCCCGAACCTCCCCCGGTCCACTCATTGCCCCCGGATAATCGGAGCTCCCCCGAGATACGAGGCTATTATAGCCGCTAATGCTGTAACATGTGCCGGTGCAGCAAGTGGTCCCTGAGGACGCAGCAACTGTTGCTGGCTACAACTCCACGCTATTAAAATCAATTGCACGCTCGTTTCGCCACCCCCTCCCTCCCCCCATCCGATCGCCCGTTTAATTTAACTCACAGCAAATATTGATCCGCCTCTAGAATTAGGCCAGTGTTCGGTTTGTCTCCGGTTGTCCTGGGGATGACGACATCCGGACATGTTCGCCGTACTGTCGCAGAGTGGTTAGTATGATTGGAGTTAGTCAACCATCGATGTGTTGGCAATATCAATTTGCAGCTACCAGCAATAAAATAATATAAGGTTTATTATACATTCTTAATAGAACATAAGTCCTCCCATTTTATGGAAGTAAGAGCCTGGTTTTAACAGAAAAATAAAAATAAAATAATTTACAAATGCCTTCCTCAGATTTATTCAAACTTATTAAAACATAGTTAACTTTCAAAATAAAATTAATATAATTTTTTAACTTAATTGGTATTTATTATTTATTTATTTTACTTCAACTAACCCCACTTCTTGCCACTGTGGCCCAGTCGTCACCCATTCTGTGCACTATTTCATCTCTCCGTCTTTTAAAAGTTCTTCCTCTTCTTCTCTGATAATTTCTTGGAATCCATTCCGTGCCAATATTCGACCACTTTTTTGGGTACAATCTAGCTACATGACCAGTCTATCTCCATTTTATAAAAATGCTTCTTTCCACAGGCTCTACCTGACTTTGAACTCTTCTGTTGCTGATCCGATCTTTCCTCCTAATTCCTAACATACTTCGTGAAAATTGAAGTTGTGTCCTATTGAGCTTCTTAACAATACTATCAGTTAAATATATTATTATAATTAGATTTAGATTGATGTGAGGACTTAGATTCCCATCCCTCAGATTTTTAGAAAAAAGAGAAAACAAACACTCTAATTAAACGAATTGCTCTTTGGCTATTAATGTTTAGATCACATTTATGCAAGGATGCGCAGAACGGTAGCCAATTGAAAATACTATCAATAAAACTGTTGTTGATCAATTATTCAGAAATTCACTGATTATTTATTGATACTTTATTGGAATTACCTATACCTACTACCTATGAGCCTCTCTGTGGATACGATATATGTAATTAATATAAATAGTGCTCTCGATCAATCTCCGCTGGCTTTAGTACCAGTGATGCGGTTGAGATAATACCGCAGGGTTCTCCTGGTGTTCCCTCGCCTGATTGTATATAGGTATGCATGTGTTTTTTTGCTTAGTTTTAATTTTCATATTTTTAGGTTATTTTATTTTATTATTTATTGTATATACTTTTGATTGTTATTTTTCTTATATTTATTTTATATTTTTTGTACATATAGTGTGATTGTCATCCTACCTCACTGTAACCAATGTCCAAGAGACATATTGTTGTAATACTTAATAAATAAAAAAAAAAAATTTAAATAAGATGAATTCTCGTATTATCATTTAAGAATTAATATGTAGTGGCTCAGAGTGAAATTGAGATATCCCGTAGAAAAATACTGAAATGGTTACAGTAAATAAATAAAACGAGAAACTTTTCGTTAGATTTATTTATAAATATCCTGATAACAATAAAAATTGATTTTTAGCACAAATTTCCAACAATTTTTTTAAAACTTTTTTTTAAACTTTTATTATGGTATTTACAACTGTATTAGTATGAATACATCAAGTAAATGTGCACATAGGAATATTATCACATTAAACCCGCTTGTTGAGAAACTACCCATTGGTAGCACTCTAAACAACAATTTATTTCAAGTTTCTTCTCAAAACGTCTATTGAATCAGGTTTCTTTACTATACCATGTGAATATTTCCATTATAAAGTGAAGATTTCGTGCATCTAAAGCCCAGCCATACACCCCACGCCAAGAAACAGTGTATATTTAATATTTCTGACCAAAAGCATGTTTAATATTAAAAGTGGTTTGACATATGATGAATTATAATAGATGCATCTAAACCAAGCAACGCCATAACTACAGAGGTATTGTAGAATTTATTTATTTAAATAATATTTGTCTATAAACAATTACCGTTGACGTATAATAAAGGCCTTATGCGTCATTAGCTTCATCACCTGATCCAATTAAATTTTCCAATAGAGTGAACGAACTATCTTATTTATTTATTTTATTTTATTTTTTTTTTTGATGGTTGACTATTTTATAATAACTTGAAAATTATAATTATAAAATTAAATGAAAAATATAAAATATACTC